ATTTTGTGAATTTAATGCATACTCTGGGCAATGATAGATGTGTTAATTTATTTTATTATGGTAATTATTACATAACGTTTACGTATATCAAATAATCATATTGTCCACATTGAATACCAGGGGTGACAATTGAGTTCATGAACCTGCCACCATGTGCTTACATCGGCAGAACTATACAAATAGCTTGGTAAGGTTTCAAAACCTTGGTATATAAGCATCTCATGGTTGTGTTTGTGTCAACGTGTGGCAATGTCTTGAGGAGTATCATTAATTATTGTTGTATGTTTTCGTGTGCTGTTGTGAGAAGGTCAGAGCTTAAATTAGAGCAACAAACAAACATTAAATTTCTTGTTAAACTTGTCAAGAAGTGAAATCTGGAGTCCAAGTTCATGGGGATAATGCCATGAAGAAAACGGTAGTGTATAAATGGGTTAAATATTTTTCTGAGGGGAAAGTATCACTGATATGGAGAGGTCAGAGCAGCCAGGACTAAGCAGAACTAATGAAAACATTGAAAAAATTTGTCAATTTGTATATCAAAATCATTGGCTGACTGTGAGATGAGTAAATATTAATAGAGAAACAGGAAAATCTTAACTGCAAATCTTGGCATGAGAAAGCTGTGGGCAAAAAAGGTCCCAAAGAAGCTCACCAATTAACAAAAGCAAAGGAGTGTCACAGTTTGCCAAGACCTTTTGGAAAGGCAAGACAATGTTTTGGACCATGTTACCACTGGTGATGATTCATGAGTGATTTGACCAATACGACCCTGAAACGAAGCATCAAAGTCCACAATGGAAGTTAGTCAATTCTCCACAGCCAAAAAAAGTTCCATCAGTCCAAATTAATAGTCAAAACGATATTGCTAACTTTTTTGATGCCAGAGGGATTATTAATTATGGATTGATACCAACTGGACAATCAGTTAACCAAGTTTACTATTTGGAAGTAGAGAAAAGGCAGTGTGGAAAAAATGAAAATGATCTAAATTTTTCAACAACAACAACTCATGGCTCTTGCATCACAACAGTGCACCAGCTCCCAAAGCACTGTCTGTGAGGGAGATTTTAGCTAGTAAACAAATAACTGTATTGGGACACTCTCCCTACTCACCAGATGTGGCCCCCCAGTGACTTTCTGCTTTACCCAAAGATAAAGGAAATATTGAAAAGAAGACAATTTGATGACATTCAGGACATCAAGAGTAATACGATGCTTTGATGGCCATTCCAGAAAAAAGAGTTCCACTATTGCACTGAAGGGTGGACCAGGTGCTGCCATCTGTGCTTAGCTTCCCAAGGGAAGTACTTCAAAGATGACCTTAGCGCTATTCAGCAATGAGGCATGTAGCACTATTTCCAGGATGAGTTCAAAACTTAATTGCCGGTCCTCATATAGTCAATATTTATCAATTAATCTATTTTTCTTAACATGATTTATAAGTTTCTATTGATTGGATCTTCCAAAAAGTCTTGCCTTGAATCCTGATACCTATTACAGATATAATTAGTAGTTCATGTTGGGATATATGCCTATAGAACTGTCTCAACACAAAAGCCCCCTAATTTTTGACACTCTCTTTCCTCAGACCAAGTGAGGATTTGGAAAATGTCATTCTTTTCATCCCTATACTTAGCAATGGGTAAGGCTATCAGAAATTCTTTCTAATGTAATCTAAAAACAAAGGGCACTCTAAAGTTTAAATGTGTGGGATTGGAACTAATGTTGTGCAGTTAGAATATAGTTTCAGGAATCAGACAAATTTAAGGTCTTGTCTTTGCTCAATCACTAATTAGCTGCAGACTTCGGGCAAGTTACTTATCCTCTCTACTGCAGTTTCATCATTTATACAATGAGTTATTGATAGTATGTATTTTATAAGATGGGTGTAAGTATGAAATAAGATGATGTATTTACCACAAAACCTGACATCTTGTAAGGGATCAATAAATGCTTGTTATTATTTTCATAATTTTAGTAATTTCCTTGATCTTTTGACTGAGATGTTGTGATCATTTTCATTATTGTTTAAAGTACCATAATGCTGATGGAGTTACCAGTTTAAACTTCCCATAAATGGCATAAGTTTCAGTCTCTACAATTTACAATTTGTGCTGTACATACAAGGGGAATAAGTTGGGAGATCATGAAGGTTCTGTGGCAAAGGAATAATTGCAAAACAAGTTGAGGAGCATTGTTTGATAAGAGAAATTAAAAACATCATTTTTATAAAGGGATAAAATAATTGATTGCCTGTTAGCATTACTAGTTGAATTTGAGGGTTTCAACTTATATACCAAACAAATTGAAAGGAAAAATACACTACTTCCTTACAAATACACAATTCTTCACTTTTTAAAAATAAATCTATAGTACTTTTGTGGCTACCAGTCAACTTAATTTACCTGTTTTTTAAAAGGCAAAAAGTGGTCTTATGTTTTCTTCGAAGAACAAGTTATATTCCTAAGGAATTCCCCAATGTATCTGTTTATTCTACTTTAGAATTGGTAGATTTTTGAGAAATGAATGTTTAACTTCAGGAAAAATTAAATTAAACTACCTTCTTTTCAGATGAGTAAAACACTTTCAGGAAAATTTTTCTTAAAGTAACATGTAGAACATTATGTTTTAATAAGGTGATAAGTGTATTTAGTGCTGATCTTATAGCATGAAACTGCAGAAGAAAAATCGTCTGGTAGACAAAAGACTTTTAAGCTGTAAGGATTCATGGAAATGGCGTGTGTGAATGGAGGCACTGATTTGGGTAATTTTTAAGATTTAAGTAAATGCACCATAGTGACCATTTCACACCACTGTTACTGCAGCTGCTATACAGATGTAACCACAACATACAACGTAACAAAGGGATATACCAGGATTTATTGATTGATTGCTACTCTTTCTTCTGCTCATCATCCTTTAATTTCTCAAACATCTTCCTATTAAACCGTTTATTCTGGCAGGGAATAATGGGGCAGATTTCAGGCAAAGAGTATTTTTTATTATTCTTTTTCACAGTGTTACTCAGACATAGCCACTCTTTGTGGAGGTCAAAGTTCTACAGATGTGTCATCCTTTCAGGAAAATGTGGGAAGCAACATTCAAGTGGTAGAAAAAAATTTATTTTATAAAAAATTCTCTACCAGCACTATAGTTTTGGAAGTTGGACTACCCCGTGATACTTTGCAGGATCATAAAGTTAAGTCTTTTCTCAAAGGGAAATTGTAAATTTATTATTAGATATGTATACTTATTCTAAGATACCGTTAGCCGCTCTTGTTATTATTCATACTTTATGGCCACTGGAATCTTTGTCTACTTACTGGATGGAGCTTTCGATGCGGGTAATAGTGAGGAAAGCGGCAAGGTTCGCTGTGTAAGATGAGATGACAATCAAAGCAAATAGCCACCAAGCCCCCATCATCATTCGAGTAGCCAGAGTCGTGTATGGGACTTCCCCACCTGTGAAAATAAGTAGAGATTAAAAGAACATCAACAAGTATTTATTGAGTATCTGAGGTCATACATGTTCAATACAAAATAGTGAGAATCTTTGTATTTAACATCAGCATTGATTCTCTTTTCATCAATGATTCAATTTTCATCACTTTGTATTTAATTCTCTTCTATAAGAATATGGGAGATTAGTCAAAATAAGCATGACAAATATTTATTGTACTATGTTTAAATGATAGCTCATCAACCTTCCTGTTCAATTCTCTCATTACTAACACAGAAATACACTTTCTTTCTAGGAACTTCATTAGTTAGGTGATATTAATACTGCTATGCTTATACTTAATGTAACTTTTCCAAATTTCCAGCTAAATAAATAATATTGAAAGGATTATTTTTTCGTT